ACAAAAGAACTCGAATACAAAGACATCATCAGAGGATAACTAGACTCACAATCTTTTCATGCACTACACGAGCATGAGCCATAGCTCGAACGATTTTCACAAACTACAAATCCAAGTATTGTATCTGTCCATTTGTACAAGTAGCAAATTTTCTTTAGAAGATGTATTTATAAAGTACTCTAATCTCTTTTTGATAAAAATATATTTGGCTAAGACTTTGAAATAATAGCAAGCTGTTCAACAGGAAACAATATAAGATGTGCAATTTTTAAGTGGGAACCGAGATGTTTACAGAAGCTATAGCATCTCATATCAAGTATGTTTGGTAAATTATTTTGTAGTTATAAGTTGTGGGTCCTACAGATGTGTGAATCAACAACTTGGACAGTAAAAGAACAAAGTTTTGCAACTGAAGAGCTTGCACGAGAACATTGATTTAGGAAGTCTTGTCTCCTTAGATTTTGCGCGGAAAAACAGTAAAATATAAATGTACTGTAGTAAGGACATGGGCGATAGTTGCACCTAGAAAAGCCAAGAGAGCCCAAGGAATGCGAAAATATTTGCCCATCCATTCAGCCGTCCAGGTTTATACTCTATCCTGGAAATTTTTTTCAATATGATACATAGCATGTGCATATGCATGAGCATCAGGTTCCAAATCATTAGCCATCTCGTTAAAGAGTTATGCCAATTGTTCGTCACTGTCTAATTTGTTGATAAGAATTATTTTCCCCATGAGGAGCTCTTTAACATCATCAGGATGATCAATGAATGAACCACTAGACAAATACATGACGTAATACGCAAATCAGAAGGGCAATGGGGACCAATTTCATAAGCATTAAGTTTAATAGAATAGGTTTTGTTAAATTAGTTACCATGATTGGAGGAAGTGTAAGAGTACCATAAATAAGGTGAGATTTGAATTCTACATCAGTAAAATTTCCAGTTTGGCTTGGTTTGAAATGAATTCCTGCTGATTTGAGCTCAGTTACTGAACAATACGATTCCCATTGGACAAATGTGTTCTTGTTTTGACTTTCATGCATAAATGGACTGATGAGATGTTCCCGCACTAGATGTAGAAATTAATCACCTACTTGCAAAGAAGTTTGGAGAAATTTTACAATCGAAATTTTACGTCCAAAAAAATCATACCCCATGTAATTTTGCATTCAAAAATTTACATGGATATGACTTTTTTGGATGTAAAATTTCAAAATATTTTGATGTCATATTCCATATAAAATTTCCTAATAAAATGATGAAAATTACACTGAGAAATTTGTATAGTAAAAATAATAAATATTAATGAAATAATTGATTTTTTTTTTAAATGCGAGTTAGATGTCTTTCTTTAAGACTCACGTTTAACGTATTTTTAACTATTTTCGATATCTGTTTGGGCTATTCAATATGCCCATAATGTAGTTCTCGAAATAAGTTTTGAGATGACATAATCAATTTGTAGATTCGATTAGCGTACGATCGTCAAATTTTTTTTAAAATTAGCATGTTATCGAAATTCAAATTTATTGTGATTTTACCCCTGTTTGGTTAAGATTAAAATCAAATTTTTAATAAATTTTGATAAAAGTTAAACAATTATGGATTTCATGAAATATGTCATTAAAATTAATTGTTAACTTTGATTTAGATTAAAATTTAGATTTCAATCGATACCAAACATGACTTTATACGAGTTCCGGACCGGTTCCGGGTCGGCCCACAAATTTTGGACTACAACCTAGGTCCGCCCGTTGACCCATGCGGGTCGAGCCCATGCGGGTCACGGGTTACGGTTTGTTCCGATTT